TTTCCCACAGGAAAGGGAAGACTTGGGGCTAGAAACTATGGTAAGGCTCTGAAGCACATGGTCAGGGGACAGATGGGAATGGAAATGGCACCATAGAAGCCACTGTGCTGGATAGCTTTAGTGTCAACTTGACACACCTGGGTTGAGGGAACCTTAATTGGGGGATTGCCTCTGTTGGCCTGGCCTGTGGCCATGTCTGAGGGCATCTTCTTGATGAATGATGTGGGAGGGCCCAGCCCACTGTGGGTGGTGCCTCACCTGGGCAGGTGGGCCTGTGTCGCCTAAGAAAGCAGGCTGAGCAGGGGCCAGGGGAGCAAGCCAGTAAGCAGCGTTCCTCCATGGCCTCTGTTCTAGTTCCTGCTTCCAGGTTCGTGCCCTGAGTTCCTACCTTGGGCTCCCTGATGAACTGCAACCTGGGAGTTGTAAGCTAAATAAACCCTTTCCTCCCCAAGCTGGTAGTGGTCAGAGGGTTTTGTCACAGCAATGGAGAAACAAACTAAGACAGCCACCATGGAAGAAATCCATGTTCCATGGCTAGCCAGGAGAGATGCCAATAGAACAGCACCTCCCCAGAAAAGATCTCTCCCCTTATCCCAACCCAGAATCCAAGGTCTCCAGGAAAAGAACCTCCACTGGGCACTTCATTTTGAATTCCTAAATTTTACCCTGAAGTGAAAAATTACTGTTTTCTGTCATTAGATAGAATGGTGGAGGAAGCAGGAGAATGGGACCTAAATTTAGACAGAAAACAAACAATATGTTTCATGTATTTTCTGTTCTCCTGAAGAGATGGTTTAATAACTCAACCATAATGAGCAGGTAAGTGCTGGCTTGGCGTGGTGGTGTGAAGCGGCTTCAGGAGTAAGTGAGCTGGTCAGTACTAAGGCGAGGCAGCAGGGCAAGTGACAGTTCTTAGGTCTGGTTGGAGGGACCCACCCAGTGGACTGGAAGCCATACGTCTCTGGATGTCTGACTCCCTGGACGCTACCACTGGATCACATGTTTCTGGAATTCTCTTTGACATCAGCTTAGCAGAGAGCGTTCTGAGAGTCAGAACCCAAGTTCATGTGTCCTGAAGGTACATTTGGTGTTTGCATCAGTCCAACTCCAAGAATGCATGCTAGATGTCCACTTGGCAGTTTGAAGGCCAAGGAGCCCAGCATCTATGGCTCTCTGGCACAGACCCAGCCCAGGGAACACAGATGCAGCCACCCTGTGTCAACCTCCCAACCGAAGCAAACAGCCCAGACAGAGAAAAAGGCAGATGGAAAACAAAAACAAAATGGTGCTCCCTCCTTTCCTCTAACCCCTATGCTGGGTACTTTTTGGTTTCCAAATATACTTTTGCCCATGATTCTTACTGAAGCTGTGGACAGTAAGTAAAAGAAGACTCTGTGACCATTTTACAGATGAGGAAACTGAGGCCCGATGGACAAAACTTGTCCAGATCATGCATATTACCATTGGCCCACGTGAGGCCAGAATCCAAGGTGAAGGTTTCTCTAGTTTGAGTTTCTGACCAATACTGAGAAGGAAAGGACAGGACCAAGGGAGATGGCGACCAAGAAGGTTAAGTGTCAAGGATCCAGAGGCTCTACCAGGCCAAGGTCACCATCTGCCAGACACCTGCAGGGTTTCGTTGACTTCTGCTGCCCTCAAGTGGCAATTCTGCAGTATAACAGCCAAGAAGCTTTTCTGTCTGAGTGACAGTTCTCAGAGAGACCCACGAGGCTGAAATTTCATTTGTTTAAAGACATTTGTGGTAGCAACAGAGAAACCAATGCCTGATACCAGGCTTCCTGAGGATAAGGCTCATGTCTTCATCGCCCAGTGGCTAGAGCAGCGCTGGGCAGGGTTGGACTCCCTGCATGTGTTTATGGCTAAATTGGAGAAAGGCCATGTAGTGTCACTGAGAATGAATTTCAAGCTCTTGGCTCCAGGTGTCCCAAGAGGTCCAGAGACATCCACAAGGAAAAAGAGGCTGTGACTGAAAGATCCCTCCCAGTAACTGGCTACCAAATAGATACATGTGGGTTGGGGTCAAGGATCTTTATTAAAGTTGCCATTTCCAGGCCTGGTCCTTGGATGGGGCACTGCGTAAAGACTGCTGGTGGCTGTGCTTAACTAGTATGAAGGGGTGCTGGGCAGGGGTGACAAAGGACTGTCACTCTAAGCCTTGCTGAGGGTGGGTAGCATCACACAGCCAAGAGTGCCCTGCATGAAATTTTGGCACCCAAAACAAAACAAAAAGATGTGTTTTTGTTTCTTAGTTGTAAAACAAATACCTACTATAAAAAAAAACCGAAGCACTTTAATGGAACACAAAGAAATCATCAAGGTCAAAAGTGAAAGCCTCTGAAAGTTTATACCCCACAAACAGCCTGGAGTACACCTGTTCTCCTTTGCTTTCTGTTGCGGTGATAAAATTCTGATCAAAACCAACTTGGGGAGGAAAGAACTTATGTAGCTTCTACTTCAGGCTACAGCCCAACACTGAGGGAAATCGTAGCAGGCACTCGGGCAGGAACTGAGGTAGAGACCACAAAGGAATGCTGCTGACCGACTTGCTCCAAAAGTGACCAGAGCTGAATCACACCTGCGCGGCCGAGAACGCGGCATTTGCTGAGTCCATGAGGCTGGGGGGTCGCAGCAGCTGGGGCAGTCTCCCAGTGGCTGTCTCATACAGTTCTGCCAAGATCCGGAAGTCGCTCAGTCCGCGGAGCTGTGTGCCTCAGCAGTCCCAATCTGGTGTGGAAAATCGGGAGGGTTTCTAAAGAGCTTCAGGTCCTTAGTCAATGATGGAAGCCTGGAAACAGTGATTCTGACGCCTGCGAAGGAATCGGCGGCAGCAGCAGCATAAATTAACTCGGCAGTGAGAGGGAAGAAGAATCATAATCTTCCTTCTGCCCCGCCCCTTTTAATCTGGGTTGCTACCAGAAGGTGCTGCTCACATTTGGGGTGGGTCTTCCCACATCAACTGAGGCAATTAAGGAAGTTCCTCCAGTGAGGCTCCCTACTTAGGTGATTCTAATTTGTGGCAAGTTGCCACTAATATCAACCACCATAGTATTCTTCCAGGCCCTTTCAGTGTTGGTACAATTGTGCACATATAATTTTATTGTAACATACATTTTATTCTGCAGCTTCATTTTGGGGCTTCCCTGCCAGGCTATTGGACCCTGTTATTGGCCACATCTTCCTCTCCAGCCCAGCATCATAGGCAAGCACTGAGGATAATGCAAAACTGGACCCAAAGTCGCTGCTTTATCACATGCTAGGATGTGTTTATGTGTTTGCTTCAAGTAAGCCATGTCCCAGTGCTGGGTTTGTTTGCCCAGTTGGATTAGAAGTGGCATTGTGCTCCTGAGACTTGACCGGGGGTCTTCTGTATCTCCTGATGAGGCTGCACTACAACAGCCTTGCTCAGGCGTCCTGGCCCTTCCCAGCTTCTCTGGATCATCTTGGTACCCCTTGATGACTAAGGGGATGACAGAAAGCAGCACTGCTGACCCCATGTGCAGATGAAGAAGCTGGGACTCTGATGAACCTGAGCCCTGCTGAGGGCTCGGGCTGCCCGTTGTCCTTGATAGTTCTGAACTGGCAGAGCTCTTGCTGCTCAGCCCAGGGGACATCACTAGCAGCCAGCACTGTTGGGGCGCCTCATGCTATCCTCAACACTTCAGACAGTGCCCACACACCATACATGCTCAACAGACATGTGATGGCTGAGTGAACGAGGGTCAGAGAGTTGGCTGCAGCCTCAGAGCTACCCATGGCATCCTGAGGTCCCAAGGAGCTGTGTAGGAGAGAGATGGAGGCCATTCTTCTGAGGGGAAGCTGTGATTTATACTGGGGAGACTGATTGTGTCAGCTCCTGTGGGGAGGGATAGGTCAGCGGCTTTTCAGTGACATGATCCTGATCTTTCAAAGGTTGGAGGGGACTGGAAAAAGCAAGGAAGACTCTTGAAGTTTTTTTAAAAATTTTTTATTTATTTTTTAAAAATAATTTATTGAGAATTTCATAATGCATGGAAGGTGTTTTTATCAAATCCATGCCCACTCCCTCCCCTCCACCTCCTCCCATATCTCCCCATCACTTTTTTCTGATAACTTCATGTACTCTTCTTTCTTTATTTTTATTTTATGAGTGTGTTTTGTCTGTGTATATGTGTGCAATGCCCATGGAGGCCAGAAGGGGGCATCAGATCCTTTGGAACTGGAGTTACAGATTGTGAATCACTATGTGGGTGCTGGGAACTGAACCTGGGTCCTCTGAAGAGCAGCCGGAATCACTGAGATCCAGCAGTGTGGGGGGGGGTGTTTCTCTTAAGTGGAATGTGAGGTCAGTGTTCTCACTGGGATTTGAGGCATGAATGGTAAATAGATCACTTTGGATGGTGGTTCTGGTGGGCAGGTATGGCTGCCCAGGTGACAGTGTTGGGCAGGAATCTGAAGTCACATGCAGCACTGCACTAAGAAGCAGTGCACTCTGTGATGGAGCAGGTGTGCCTGCTGCAGGTAACAGAGCTAGAAGTGATGTCATGAACAAATGCTTCATAGCGGCAAGTGGCCATCTATGTAATCCCAATAGGAAGTAAAACAGGAGCACAGACTCACTTTGGAATGCAGGGTGTGGACAAGTATGCGTTCTTTCTTTTCTTTCTTTCTTTCTTTTTCTTTTTTTCTTTTGGAAGTGAGGCCTGGAGATTACCCACCCCTGCAAGCTCAGGGCTACCATCTGTGATGTGTGACACCAAGAGCAGTTCAGGCTTGTGAGAACATCGTCCATCTTTTCCCTTCCACATGGCCCTTTACAGCTACTGAGCTCTTCTTGTCCACCTCAGTGACCCGGGAGAAGGGAAGTGACAGTGCTACCCTCAGTTCCACTGCTTGCCTGATGGAACAGGTTTCTCTCTAGGCTAGCAACATCTCAGGGCCTAAGCAGAGCAGAAAGGATGGTGGGCAAGGCCTCTTGGAAGTCATCTGACACAGAAACAACCTAAAGGGTTTTCCGTGCTTTTATTTGGAAGCACAGAGCTGATTCCAGCTCCTCTGTGAATTTCCACTGAGTTTTCAACAGCCATGGGCACAGACTCTACTTTGCCCTGGTTTTTCTAATCCAGAGCTGAAAGAGGTGGTGACTGCTCGATCCAAGATTAGCTGCTTCCTTCCAGGCCTCTGGTTCGGTGGCACTGGCCTGAGGTGAGGACCAGAGAACTTATGATTATGGAGGAAGTGGTTCCCAGGTCAGTGTACGACCACAGCCCACAGAGCCTGGTGATGGGTGATAGGATCCTTGCTTCTTTGTAGTAAATTCACTGTTGCTGACAGTGTGGACCTGCAATGGGATAAGGCCTGGTCAGATGACAGAAGCTCTGGGAAGAAGGAAGGAATGCAAGAATGTCATCTCTCAAGGTTATCACCAGCAGGAGCTAGAGGTCAGACAACCCACATGGAGACTTTTCTTGTGCTGTAGAGATGAGCTAAGAATCACCAAAACACACTGCTGAAGGTCAGGAGGGCTGTCTGGGATTATTCGTAAATGTTCAAACAAGGGATCAAGACAAACATGTCTCCTTTCCTTGAGTATGAAATCTCCTGGTCTAGAGATGCACCTCAGAGCAGAGAGCAGACTAGCATTACTTCAGGAAGGTTCTGGTGCCAGCATCCTGAGGGGCAGGCAGGGATAACACAGCGGGACTCCTCAACAAACCTAGAAGCTGACTGCAGGCCAGTGACTGGGCACCTCATGATACAATGGCCACCACACATGGTCTCATCATGCTTCACGTGGTGTCTACTCTGTAGAGCCTGGGAGGGAACCACAGGGAGGAATGAGAAGGGAAGTTCTGCCTCGCTGAGACGCTGGGGAGTTGGGTCCTGTATGCCCTGCAGATGCCTAGAGACAGTCACCATCCCACCACTTCTTAGGGTCTTCAGGGCTCTGTGGTCCTCTGTGTGTACACCATCTCCTCCATGCTGGGTCTAGGTGAGGAGAAGGCATTGCCATGCACATCTTCAAAGAGTTCTTGTTTCTGTTGCCTGGGACATGGCCTGCCCCAAACCTTCCTAAAATAAAGCCCAGGCTCATTAAAAGGCCTGTGGTTCTTGGTTAAAAGAAGATGTTAAACAACTCAGGTAAGATTGTTCAAGGCAAAGCTCTAGACAAGTTTCTGACAACTCCCTCTCCCACTTGAAGGACACCAGCTCTTCTCTCCCCACCCACCCCCACTGACCTTAGCAGCCCTTTTTCTAAGGAGACAGGCACCGGTCCAAGCCGTTTGCAAGGGAACGTATTCAGAGCTTCCAGCTGGCTTGGCCACTGCTCGGAAAGGCCAAATCCTGTACAATCACGACTTGGCTCTCTAAAACCTTCCTCTACCCTCCTGAAAGAGCGAATCCTTGGGGTGGCCAAGAGTGACACAGTACAACAACTAGGGCAAGTGCCCAGCCACTCTGGGATTTGAGGTCTTGGCATTAAAACCGTTTTGTAGCTGAAGATTTAAACATGTGGGAACTGGTCCTGAGTTATAAAGCATTATGTAAAGTCAGATCTGAATTTGAAGACACACGTTGAAAGCACGTGGAAGGCCGACAACAGATCTTAAGGTCATTAGAGGTGTTCTTATTTTGTCCTTTTATTTGTATTTTCTACAACATAAAAAAGGAATTGATGTTATTATAGGATTTTTAAAAGCTGTCTTTACCTGATAAAGGGGATGGACTGGGATTGGGCTGATGTCAGGACACAGCTTTAAGGATGAGCCAACTGTCCTGTTCTGTCCTGCTCTGCCCTCCCTGGACATTACCCAAATGCAGGGACTCTTCACCAAGATGTTTAATTATGCAAAGCATGTTTACTATCCTTTTTCCTTTCAAACAAAAGGGCAAAAAGCCAGAGAAGCTGTGAACGTCAGTACTCTAGTAAAGGGCTGCAAGCATTTTAAGGCCAGCTTCCAGGCTTGCTGTGGTCAGCCTGGCAGATGGCACCCTCTGCATACATCTAGGACCTGTCTTCACTTCCTAGCAGCGCCTGCAGCATAGGGTTGGAGAGCCAAAGTGGGGCTTCTAGGCTTCCCTGAGAGTGGTCATCCTTCTCAGGAGAATTGGCAGTCATGGAGGCCAAGTGTAATGGCTTCTTGGTTGAGGAGAAAGTTCAATGACTGGCCCCTCCCTGTCTTCTGAGCTTGGCAGATAATGAGTTCAGGGCCAGGGAGAAGTAACAACAGGAGTGAGATAGGCATAGAGGGGATAGGGAGCCTGGCCATCCTCCTCTGGGCACATGGTTGAGTCACCAGCAGGGCAGGGAGGAGAGCTACAGGGCAGGGGATCATCAATGGGAATAGAGGGGAACACCAGGCAGTTAGGACTCCCTGGAGAGCAGCAGGGGCTCTCCAGTAGGTAGGTCTCATCCCAGCTGAGAAATAAAGCTGGCATCCTGGAGAAGAAGACCTACAACTAGGGACAGAGGACAAAGAGCTGGTGACACTTAGACCAAGAGGGTTGGTGCAGGGCACAGCAGGAGCACAGACCTCAGAAGAGAGAGTCAGACTCCCAGGTCAAGTAAAGCAGGGAGCTGCTAAAAGTCAGTTGCATATGGCTACTTTTAGAAGAACCCTCGGGCAACAGTAAGCCTTCTGCAGCTAGAGAGCAAGCAGGAGGACTCTGAGCCAGGGAGGCAAGGAATGGTGGCAGAGGCCTGTCCTCTGGGGCTTTGGGAGTCTGTTAAAGCTCAGTAGGAGGTGGGGAGATGGCCCCCATGTGGGTGTGGAGGGGCACTGGGGTTGGGGTCCTCAGAGAAGCTAAATGCACATGTCTCCAAAGGCTGTAGAAGTTGTGAATGGAGGAGTAGGTGAGGTGGCTGTGAAAGGGTGAGTTGTGCCCAGCTTAGACACTGGGGATCCGGCACACCACTGTCACAGGTGGTCATTTCAGAACTGCCTCCTGGTAGTGAGAATTGTCTAATCCCAGACCTATCACAGGGACAGAGGGACATTTCAGAATCTCCATCATCTTCACAATGAAGAATGATGTTCTGACTTCATAGGTGGCTAAGAAGGAAGCACACTGACCTGACATTTATGGGCTTGTCACAGTGTGGTCACCACGGAGTGCCTTCAGTGAGAGCTCATACCCAAGAAACATGGCCGCGCTCATGGGGAAGCCCCGCACAGCATTCACAGTGATGCCCCTGAAAAACACCTTTGGGCAGGGGGCTGGTTATTCCAGGATCAAATCATACCCTCTGCATCGACAACCCACACCCTCAGCATTGTCAACCCACATCCTCTGCACTGACAACCCACACCCTCTGCAGCCCCACTGCTGTGGGTTGGAGTAATGGTTGGACGTGCAGTGTAACCTGGCCCTGGCCTGGCTGGAACCCAAAGAACCTATATGTGGGAAGCCCCTGTCATGCTCCCAACACATGGCACATGTGATAGTACTTGTCCTCCTGGGTTCTGATGTGCATCTACTGAATAGTTCAGCAAACTGAGCCACAAACACCTCTGTGTTGGTATATTTCTCTCTCTCTCTCTCTCTCTCTCTCTCTCTCTCTCTCCCCCCCCCCTCCGGGTTCTGGAAGCCCTACATTGAACACCCAATCATACTCAATAATGGGGACAGGTGTTTTGTGCAACCACTCCAAAGTGGCAGAGGACAGACTTCTGACAGTGCTTAAGACCACAGGCATAGGGTAGGGCACAGAGTGGGTGAGTGGTGTGGGTGAGTGACGAAGTCTCTAGCAGGAAGTGTTGGACTGCTAAGGGTGCTCCAGGAAATGGCTGAGAAAACACTTCTGAAGTAATTCCTAGTGTCACTGAGTCAGTCAACACCCAGTGATGCTGACTGCGTTTGTCAGCATCCACAGTTGCCACCTGTGGGCATGAGGAGGCGTGGTCTGTGTTGACAAGCTGCTGGACTCCACCTCTGCTATGACCTGTCACCTGTATTTGTCTCCCATCCCTAAGCAATGCTATGACACGTCTCCCACGATCTCCCTGTGCCCTCTGCATCTTCCTGGTTGGTGCCAGGTGGACCCTGAGAAACGGACATTTTATGACCTTAGAGGAGATGAGCCTACTGAGGAAAAGTTGTAATATTACCAGACAGTGATGGAAACAGAAAGGGGCCTGGGGGAGCCATGGGGTAGGGAGATGTCCCTTCGACATAGAAAATAAGCTATTGGTGGGGAGGGGTAGAGAGATGTCTCAGTGGTTAGGAACACTGGTTGTTCTTGCAGAAGGTCTGGGTTTGAATCCCAGCACCCACATGGCAGCTAACTGTCCTTAACTCCAGTTCCAATGGATCCAACAGCCTCTTCTGTCCTCCGAGGGCACTGCATGACACGAGTGTACTTACCTACCTGCAGGCAATACACTCATACACATAAAATAAAAATAATAGATCAAATATTTTTTAAAAAAGAAAAGAAGGTATTGGAAGGCCACTCCTCCTGAAGTAAGATCTGAGAGCTGTCAATCACAGGAGCTGAGCCTGCTCTGGCACCTGAATAATTTTTTAAGTTCAAAACGCAGCGTTGGTCATTTTTACAGGGCAACAACCAGTCTGTGTGTTTCTGGTTCCAAGGTCTCTGGGCACTATGGGCTCAGAACTGGTGGAGGCTAAGATGTCAGGTGACACTGGCAGCCACAGGACACAGCTTGGCCTGGGAAAGGAGCTCATGGACTAAATGCTGGACCACAGACTCACAGGGCAGGGCGATGTGGGATCTGGGTAATAGCACTCCTCTCTAATGCCTAACCATATTGGAATTCCACTGGCTCACCCAGAGTGACTGTTACTTGAGTAACAGCAAGGAACTGGGTCAGGCTCAGAGAGGAAAATTCCACACTGGGTGCTCAAAGCTCCCGATAGCCTCTGTTTGGTTCTGCTCTGAGGCAGAACCAGGTGGGCCCAGCCTGGGGTGCAGCCTCCTGCCTCACAGAACAATATTCAGGCCTGTTGACTTTTACCCTGAGCTTTTAGGACACACAGCCCTTGGGCTAAGAACCTCCTTATGAAGAGCCATGGTTCCCTACCACGAAAACGGCTACCATGAAGGGGGTATGGGGTTTTGTGCCTTCATGAGCCACAGCAAGAATGTTCCAGAAGTCATGCTCTAGAGAACAGAGCCTATGCCATAGGGACTGCAGCTACCACTGGTCATGGATGAAGGCATTCGTACAACTGCGGTGGCAGGAAAGTCCCAGGCAGCCTGTGTTTCCAGCACTGTATTGCCTTGTGAGGTATTGCCTTTGTACTGTTACACTGATGTGAGATGCTCACACCTGAGAATAACATAGATACCCCCTTGCTTGCAATGCTCACATATGA